AGGTGCTAAAAATACACATATGTTTCGAATTTCTAAAGTTAAATTGATAAAATGAAGAGTGTTATAAATGACGGTTGATGTTATCATTAAACCAGGGTAAATTGTACCTCCAATTATTCTACCAAGTGGATACCATGCTCTATCATCAAACCAATTATGAAACTTATAAAATCCTTCTTCCGCAAGGTATTGTGTTGTACGATAGTTGAAGTAAGGATCAAATTCATGAATAACACTTTCAAATCGAAGTACAGAAAAAAGTCTCGTTGCAAAAGATAGTATTGCTGCAGTAGTTAAGATAGTCATCTTCAAAAAAGATTCTTGTTTTTCGTTGGACATGCCAAAAAGCATTGGCTTATGTAACACAGTGGAACTCATGATTGGAATCTTTAAAAAAAAAAATGTTAATATCTATTTTATTTAAGTTTTAAATTCAAAACAAGGAAAACTAAATACTTAACACGTTCCGACACCAATGTCGGATACCCTCCAATACTGGATATTGATGCGTTTATCCAACAAGTTTTATATGTATTTTTATAGTGTTACAGAATACTTGGCTGAGTGTATAGCCATAATATTTTATTTCACCTATCACTATATATTATTTATTAAACAAGTACAATTGGATTTTATTTTTCATCATTTTTGTGATAATGACAAGGACTTATGTTTTTTTTTTAATATCGCTGCTGCGTTTGACATAAGATAAAAAACTAATGTCGGCATTGAATGTGTTAAGAATATAATTTTATTTGTAGGTACTACCTATATGTAATTATTTTTTGATAAACAAAATGTTTTACCTTAAAACTTGTTGGTACAAGTACCAATATCATCTACTAAACAAATATAATGGTATAAATAATAATGGACAATTGTCACAAGAATGTACAATTTATAACAATTTAATTTGGAAACATTAATTTAATATATTTAATCAAAAAATAAAGTAAAAATTTAAACAATTTGATTTTAAATTAGTTAGATATTAATACTCACATATTATAATAATAAATTCATTAGACATTTTAAGTAAGCGTCAACTCAAAAATTAAAAAAAAGTAATCCAGCAAATAACAATAATACTAAAATACTTAATACTTTGAGATCCTATTTTTTTTAATTGTCTTTAAAACTTTAAATAAATGAAACTAAAACAGTATTTAATTAGACCCAAACATTAAACCACCAATACTGACTATTAATCTCGAAAATGTTAATAATGATTATCAAACGCAAGACTGTAAACAATAAACTATTTTGCATTTAAATATTACACTTTGTTCGAACCAACGTCAAACACTCGTCCCTAAACTATTTTTACAAAAAACAATTTACTTACGTTTGCGACGGCTTAATCAAATATTCGACCGGCGTTTTACCACCAACTATCACGATTTAATAATAATAGTAATGTTAATAATATTATAATAACTTTATCGATAGGAATGTTGAGTACATCTTGACGTGGTACAAATATATGGCATCGAACAATATTATAATTTATCGATACACTCACGCAAGACGGTAACAGACATTTTCTTTAAAATTCGAAGTCACAGTTCGAATACACTAAAAAAGTCAGTAAAGACTTGTGCTACAATTTATTATTATTATTATTACAGGAGTTACGGGAGTACGAGACCGACAGACTATACGTTCCGCAAGCAATATTTGATAAGAAAATGCAGGGGTTCCAAAATTCTATTGCTATTTGTAACCATGATTCTTCATAACCGTGTGCTGAATAGCCGAGTTCAAATTTACTGCTTCGACGTGTCTACTGTCTGTATATATTATTCTTGTATCGTGCCTTGTGACTTATTAGACGTTGCAAATTTTAATAATGGTATCGTTCGTTAACCATGGAACTGTTGGGAAAATTCCAGAATTAAACCGAAACGCCGAGTACCTACACATTGTCTGAGTGCCGAACAGGGCGCAGTCGTAGCTGTGAGTTGTGAACCCTGTTTGGCGGCTTTACATTCAAATCATTGAACGATGGCTACACATGCGGTCATAAAAGATATATTTTAATCTTGTTCTAAGACAGTTGGGCTACATATATCTTTCGTAATTAGCTTATAAATAACATGTTTGATTGGCACACGTATACGTTTATTTATTTCATTAAAACACTTAAAGCAGTAGTTTTCGACCGGTGTGTCGCGGCACACTGGTGTGCCACAAGCGCCTTTGAAGTGTGCCGCGATAAATCTATTGATTGAGTTGATTTTGTATACATATATATGTATAATGTATTACACACTATAGTTAAAATTTGAAAATTTAATAAAAAGTTCCTTATAAGTAGTTCATACTGTAACCTAAAGTTGTAAACATAATTTTATTAAACAAATTTTTTTTAAATATTTTAAATTTAAATTTATAAAAGAAATTAAATGTTAAAACTAAGAAAATGACGATTTTAGTAATTTTACTAAAATTAAAATATATTTTTCGTGTAAATTTGAAAATTTTACTTATTTTATTATAATTTTAATAAGCATAGTGAGTAGTGACAACTTCAAAATATTTGGATGAATTAATAAGAGAATGCACAAGCCTTCAACTATTTATACCACGAACCTATTCACAACGTTCTATATGGGCTATATGGTAAGTCGGTATTGAATCATTAAAATGTTCCTATTTTTTAGTGTTGTGATATAAATGTATAATAGTAAAAAAATATTCAAATAATTAAATATTATCTAATCATTAAAAATAAAATCAATACAATGTTTTCTCCAGAAATTAATTTAATCTATCGTATTATTTTCTGTAAAATAAATTACCTACTTAGTATAGCAATATGAATTACACATCGTAAAATACCCGTAGGTTGCTATCTTCGCTTAGAATCATTTTCCATATAAGTATTCAACGATTTATACAAAATTTTAATTTAAAATTTAACTACGGTTACCTACTTTGCCTTGCCCTTTTATTTTTCTGATTATTTTAAAAAAGTGTTGTATGCCTGTTATTAATGCTATTACATTTATTTTTTGCGTTTATAATTTAATCTATTTCGCTTACTGTGATGACGTTTAAATTAAAGACGTAACTATAGGTAAATGTAAAGTGTAAAGTGGGTATATTACAATTCAACCTATAAGTTATATTTTGTGCTCGATCAGCGATTCAATAATAGATATTTGAAAATAATTATAGCATAAGGATTATACTACTATAGTCTTCAATACTCATATCTAGTCACTATTACTCTAAAGTTGTGAGGTGTGTATATGAATAATTGTTAAATCGTGTTCTAGCTAAAAACCTGGTTAACATTATTTTGAGATCTGGCCTTGGTATTTAACTTTAATATTAAAGTTATACTATTAAACAATATATTAATATAATAATTAATTAATATGCTTTTGGTCGAAATCGTCGAGTTCTTCCCATTATATCTCGACGCATAGATTCAAAAAATAGAAACTTCTTTTCTTCGTCGTTTTTAATTTTTGTTTCATTACATTTCTGAACAGGAAATATTTAAAAAAAAATTAAATTATCATGTATTGTAAAAATTATGACTGTAAAATGGTAAATTATTTATTTACACGATTTAAGAGTTATAGGTAATACCTTACCATATTTTCATAGAATATTCCATGATATAAACCACTATTATTCATTGATGTTTTTAGCGTTTCAATATCATTATTATAATATACAGGTTTTGTGTTTCTAAGTTTTAAATTTTTTTTTTTCTGTAAAGTTTCTTTTTTTCGAACTTTGTTATTGATTCCAAGACTATGATTGTGGTCATTTGTATAATCATGAATTTTTCGACAAGTTGCATTCTCATAAATTTGAATTTTTCTTGCTGGCTTTATTGCAGTTATTGTAAACGTTGTATTGGTGGCGTTAAATCGAATGTTATTACCAGTGTCATTAAGCAAAATATTCTCAAAGTACTCAAATATCCAATCGACAATATAAGAATAATATGTTTTAATAAGAATTAATAATTGAACTACATCTATCATTATTAATTTCTTGAACAATTGCAAAAGTTTTTTTTCAAATTTCTAAGTTAAAAATTATGATATACATTGAATTGTAGGTAGGTAAATACCATACAGCTAATCAATTTTTCAATATATAGTTATTACATTTTTTATTATTTGTTGAAAATTTAATGACGCATTTTATGTTTCACGAAGTAATTTAATAGTATTATAATTATTGTAGCATAGCAACAATTATATAAAAATATAGAAAGGTACCTATATTAGCTTTTAACAGAGTCTATATATGTATAGTTTTCATAAATTTTAAAATGGAAGAATTATTTAATAATCATAAAATATATTGTCTTGCTTATTTATTTGAAGCTCAATAGTTATACACAGTTAAATATGCCCCTTATTTATAAATTTATTACCTAAATGGCTAAACATTTAAGATTTTAAAAGTTCCTTAAATGCAAGATTTTTAAAAGTTTTTTTTACTTAACTAAAAAAAAAATTAGTGTAGTCATACCTATGTTAATTTTTGGTATGTCAAGAGTTTTCAAACTAGGTACAAATTTTGACGAAATGGGAGATGGTATTTTGCGCCATTTTAATTACCTGTAATTTGCGCCATCAAAAGGTACATTTAAGGACGTATGTAATTTGCGCCAAAATATAAAAACATAACATGTATTTTGCGCCACATATACAAATTAATTTTGGTAATTTGCGCCACGACAGAAAACGAAAAGGAATATGTAATTTGCGCCACACTTTTAACTTCAGTATTGCTGGAATTTACCAGATAAATTTACTGAAATAATCACATAGGATATACAATAGTCAATAATACGTATCGACGTGTATCCAATATAATATTGTTGTGTTCTACTGATAATAGACATATCATCTCTATTAGATTACGTCTAATCTAACGAAAATTTTCAATCTATTGTTACATATTGTTAATATTGAACAGCAATGTCGCGAATCGTGATATTTACAA